AAAATGACACGCAAATGGTGCAATTGAGAACGTTGTTATGCATATCACTGGCAATGCAGAGCGCACAATATCTGGTCTTGGCTCACAAGGAATCATGTACGTCACCGCATTGAAAACACTAAAGGAAAACTTTGGCCAGCCAAACATCATTGCTAGAACATTCATCAGAAAAATCAAAGAAGAAAAATTCAGCATGATGACAGACAGGACCTTCGTGAGTTTTCCCTTGACATGATCAATTGCTTAGCAACACTTTGCCAAAACAATTACTTCGCCGACGTCAATGCCAATGACAATCTCCCAAAGATTGTCAGACGTTTGCCATATCATCTAATTGAAAAGTGGAAAAATGTGGCCACAGACATTAGAGAAAAGAGCAAAATCCCTCAGTTGGGACACATTAGCAATTTTGTGAGGAAATGTGTCAAGGCGGAATTTGATCTCAATTTTGGTGAAGTTCATAAGATGGACACTTCATGAAACACTGGCTTTCGAAGAGAAAATAGAAGAGGAATTCATTCCAATTAAAAGGCCCCAAGAAAACTCCCCAAGTGCTACATTTGTCAGGCAGAGCACAGAGTCATGACTGCCCCACTATGGTTAATAGTATGCCAGAAGAGGGAATACAACATGCAAAGAACCACTGCCTTTGCTTTTCATGTTTAGTGAGAGGCCATCCGATGAGGGAATGCAGGTCCAGCAATAAATGCGGCAAGAATGGCTACACCCGAATTCATCAACCCTTGCTCCATACAGACCCTCCTACTAACAGCGGAGTGGCATCAATCCTTGATAAAGGAAGTATCATGCCAGTGGTTTGAGTCCAATTTAAAGCAGTGAATGGAAAAGTCCGGGAAGGGAATGTTGTCGTGGATAGTGAAGCAGTCACAACCGTGATATGAAAGGACTTTGCTAAAGCACATGGCCTTCAGAGAAGAAACGTGCAAATTGACCTGGCAGTTGCTGGCAGCGAGAGAGTTCAACAGATGACAAGTAGGCAATTGAAATTCTGGATCTCCCCCCTGGACAAAGAAGAAGAATTCACCATTGAAGCCCTTGAAATCGACAAGACCATCTTAAATATTCCTGTCCCCAATAGACCATGGCTGAAGTCTTTCTCACACCTACGCGATGTCAAATTTCCTCATAAGGCTGGACCCATTGACTTGATATTAGGAGTCCAGTATACCATCTTCATGCTGAAGAAGAGGTGTGTCAAGGTCTGCCATTCCAGGCTGTGGGGAAGTGGACACGCCTAGGATGGCACGCGATTGGCTCAGACAGCTCCAAAGGAACCACCCAGTTTTGTTCCATCAGCTTTGTTCAGAAACTGAACATGGAAAGATTTTACGAATTTGAGAATCTGGGGGTTACCAGTACAGGCACATGACTGTTCATGTCCTAAGACAGTAATGTCCTCAGAAGACTGAATGGCTATGGATTTATTTGAAGGCTCCTGCACTAAAGAAGAGAATTATTATGTTATAGGCCTACTATGGAAGAAGGATCCTCACCTACTACCAAACAAGTATCCGCTAGCAGAGCAACGGCTCAAATTTTTGGAAAGAAGCTTGTCTAAGAATAAAGGAAAGGCAAAGATGCACAACTGCACGATAGAGGAGTATATAGAAAACAGCTGGGCTCACCCACTAACAGAAGAATCACAGCCTGATGTTACCTGCCACATCATGGTGTTTACTCACCAGACAAACCAAGTACTCCACTTAGTGTTGTCTTTGACCCCGCCTCCCAATATCAGGGAGCCTCTCTGAATTCCTTCCTCTGCAAAGGACCTTGCCTCATTGGAAATTTGCTGGGTGTCTGCTGCGTTTCCGTGAAGACCTTGTTGGTTTTGCTGGGGATATCTCCAAAATGTACCAACAAATCCTCCTACCGGAGAGAGACACTCATGTTCATGGATTTCCTGTGGTGAAATCTCCAAACCAAGAAACAGCCCACCAAGTAACTCCTGTTGCGAGTGACCTTTGGGGACAAACCATCACCCGACATGGACAGTGATGTTATGCTGAAGATTGCTAAAGAAAATGAGAGTGAGTACACTGATGCAGCCATAATTTTGCGCCGTGATCATTATATGGACGATCTGATTCACTTGTGTCCAACCCCTCAGTTAGCAGCAAGCCGAATGACAGCACTCGATAAGCCTCTTGCCCAAGGAAGTTTTAAGATAAAAGAATGGCATTGCTCTTCCCAGCCAGAAAGAAAGGAAAAGCGAGACAGCAATCCAGTCAAGCCAGCCATGCCAAAGGAAAGAGTCTCAGATTCTCTCAGATTCACAACCCACTCGGACTAGCTTCAGCAGTTACAATCAAGGCAAGAGTTGCCCTGCAGGATATCTGGAGGTCAAAGCAGTTTGACTGGGATGATCCTTTACCAGAGAAGATCAAAGACCTATGGCATAATTTGTTTGAAGATATAGAGAAGCTTAAGGGCGTGAAATTTCCAAGATGTCTTAAGCTAAGTATTACAAGTGGACCGTCTCAATTGCATGTCTTTGAAGATGCCAGCAGCAATGCTTATGGAGCTGTTGCATACCCCCTGTGGCCTACACCAGATGTTCCTGAAGTTTACTTGATTTCAGCCAAAGCAAGAGTAGCCCCCCTTCGTCAGAGTACAGTTCTGCATCTGGATATTGTAGCAGCTCTAATGGCATCAAGGCTAGTCTAAACAATTTATGAAGAATTCAATGAGAAGCCCGAGTCCATGGAATTATGGTCTGATTCAAAGGTAGTTCTCCATTGACTTCCCTCAGACTCCTCCCTTATGAAAGCACTTGTAGGTGTTCATGTCGCAGAGACCCAATCCACATGGAATGAAGAGCATTGGAGATAAGTTCCCATCGACTTTAACCCAGTAGATGATCTCTGGAGAGGACTTCCCATCGAGGAACTCAATGGCTGATGGATGAAAGGTCCCGCTTTCCTGAGGAAACCCAGGGAAGAATGGCCCGCAGAGAAACTAGACAGCCCCATGGCAAATAACCCCAAGATGAAGAATGCAAAACACAAACTGGTTGGAGCCATTGTCCAGAACCAAGATATTTTGAAGCCAAGCACCTTCTCCAGCTGGCAATGACTGCCTATTGCATGCATGTGTTTTCCATCTAATGCAAAGCAAAAAGCAAGAAACCAGGTATCCAGTAACAAAGTACACGAAGGACCTCTGGTCTCAGAAGAGATGGATCAAGCAGAACACCACTGGATAATGTAGGTACAGAGAGATCTGGAAGATTGGCAAAATTGCTTTAGTAATTTGGCACCATTTGCTAAAGGTGTGGTGAAAGTAGGAGGAAGGCTAAGACATGCACCTCTTACCTATGAAGAGATCTATCCCATACTTCTGCCAGCAAGCCATCCATATCCAAGCTGATCATGCGAGAAATACAAACTCGAGTTGTATATGGTGGACCTGAAAGAACCCTGTCAGAAAGTCGCTGCAAGTTCTGGATAACTCGTGGGTGAAACAGTGTTCCAGATAAGTAAGGGGTCTCAAGTCAAAAACCCGACAAGGTCAGCAACATGACCCGACAAATTAATAGAAAATTTATGATGATTTGGTGGAAGCATTGGAGATTGACCCATTGATATTCCTCATTGACACCATACCTTGAAAATTATCTGGAACCCTGTGAAACCTTGCAAAGGAAGTGGTCAAAGATTGTACAATTTGCAGAAAGCTTCACCAGGCACCACATAGCACCCCAATGGCCAATTTGCCACCCGAGAGGTTGAAACCATTTTCCCCTCCCTTGTCTGTGACTGGTGTTGATCTTTTTGGCCCCATCAACTTGAAAACTAGACAAAACAGAACAAAGAAAGCCTGAGGAGCACTGTTCACCTGTGCAACTGTTTGCACCATTCACCTGCAGATTGAAGAAGATCTGTCTACTCAATCATTCATGCATGCCCTGCGGCATTTCGCAGCACACCATGGATGGCTACACACGATGATCTCAGGCAAAGGCAAGTCATTTGTTGGAACTGAGAAGGAGTTGAAGAAGCTAGTACAAGAAGGAAGAAATCAAATTGAAGAATCTTCTGCTCTCCACAGAATTCGCTGGATTTTCACCACACCCCTCAGTCCACGCCAAGGTGAAATTTATGAGAGTCTTATCAAGCAAACAAAGCACGCTTGAAAGCAATCATGGGTTCTCAGTCTCTTTCCTGGAATGAAATGTCTACAATTTTTGCACAAGTTGAATGCCTCATCAACAGTAGGCCACTAAGATACCCTTCCAATGATCCCAATGACGCACAGCCTTTGTCTCCAAACCACATTATCCTTGGTCAAGCAACAGCTGCAACAGTACCCCAAAGCCCATACCAAGAAACAAGAAACCTCTGTAAATGTTTTGAATTTGTTCAAATGCTGCTTAACCATTTCTGGAAGCGCTTTGCATGCGAGTACTACCCAACGTTGATGAGAAGGGCGAAATGGCAGCTCAAGACAAGACAATTTTAGGTTTCGATTTCAGTTGCGATCAGCATCGGTATTGCGAACATTCAATTGTATTCAAGCTTCATCGTATTAGCTCTTCCAGGCCACAGAGATCAACTCTCCAGAATCTACTAATCAACTACAATAAAGATTAAAGAAATCTCTGGTGGTTTGATAATGTTTGTCGCCTTCTGCACCAACCACTGATAGTCTTCTCTTCATTTTCGATCTCTTTACATTTTCCACGGGATTTTGAACACATAGCATTTGACTTGGCCAACAAATCCAACAAAATTCCCTGACTTTTCACTGACTTTGACAAGAACTTAAATTTTCCCTGACGTTTGCATAATTCCCTATTCCCTGCCCTTGAAAAATTTGTGTTTTTGCCTGACTTTTCACTGACCATGGCAACCCTATTGATTCACACACTCTTTAGATATTATCTCCTGAGAAGAACTTTTCAGGTCAAAATCATTTCTCAGAGTGTGGCTTTAAAAGGGACACCAAGACACTATGTCACCTTAAGTAAAAGAACTTACTTCCTATCAGGTTATTTCTTCTATCTCCGTATTCATCTGGTGAAGCTGACTGGTTATGGCTCTTTCCTTTGCGTTTTCCAGATTTAGAGGTCTTCCCTTTTGCCTGCTTGTCTGAAAGAGTAAAAACAAATTTTACCACTCCATGCATTTTTTATCAATGTGCTGTTCAGACATAGTATGCATGTGCCCATAAGTGTGTGGGCAGTTATCAACCAGTCCATTATAGCTGGGTTACAGACATAAGTTTGGCAAGTGATGCATAGCCAAAAAAATTTTTGATGGGATACATACATACATTACTTTATTTACCCTCAGATTTCAGAGTAGCTTATGCAGCTATCTCTGAGCATTTAACCATCAGATGAGAGATAGACCACCACACTGGGAACTACGTCCCCTACTCTTTTTGATCAGTGTGTGGGTTCTTTTACGTCCCACAGAATTAACTATGAAGAGTAGTGAGATGGCACCTTTGGTTTATCATCCTTATCCGAGAAGACTAGAAAGTCTAACCATTTGCAGATGTCATTACAAAGGCAGCACTTTCTCCTCCATTATTTAAAGACCTTGAGTGTTGGTCCAGCCAGGGTTTGAACCCACAACCTCCTGCACGCTAGTCTGGTGCTCTACCACTGAGCTAGCCGGTCGGCAGTTAAAATGTGACAGTCTGTCGGAAAATTGGCTAACAACAACAGATTTGGGGAACTACAGAAATACAACAAATACTTGACAAATTTCCACAAAACTCCCATTGGAAAGGCTTGTGAAAACAGATTTTTGCTATATATTGTTGAAGTCTCACTCTGCAATTCAGTGAAGTTTTTATGTAAATCTAGGTCTTGTCTTTTACTTACTCAGTAAAGCAATGCAGTTTCAGCAATGCAGTTATTTCTGTCACAGGGATCCATATTGGTTTTTTCTGCAAGTCGTCAGCCGGGCAAGTATGCCAGATGACATACTTGCCCTTCAAGAATGGCAGCAAAACAGCATGTAAATGGAAAGTTTACTTTTTAATTATATTCACATGACCAGTCTCCCAGTACTTCATGTCTGTAGTTGTGGCTGTCGGCGGACAACAAAATCCAGGTACAAAATAATGAAAACCAAGGTTTCTTTGATTGCCATGTCTGAAAGGAACACTTTTGCTTTTCCTACTCGTATTTGGCTTGTTTTTCCTTTACTAAATGCCTTGTCCTGATCAAAACAATTGATGCAATTACGCCACGTGTTTTTGCAGATGCAGTTGATGCAGATGTAGTAGAGTGTCACACAGAGCATCAGCGGTTGAGAAAATGAAATTTGAGCCTGCAATGATTTCACTCATGGAGAATACCACATCTACTATATCTACCACATCATCCAAGATGGACCAAACTGACGATTTTATCATGACGGAAAGCTACAAATCTTTCTCAGTCTGTTTTCTTAAAGTTCCAAATGGATGACAAGTGGTCAGAATGTAGGGAACTCACAGGAAAACTTAAGAAATGGTAGAGTCAAACTAAACTCATCCAGACAAGTTTTCATATTGGTTTGGATGTCCCTACAATTTTTTAGTTGCCATGGATGACGGGACGACTGTGAATATGGATCCCTGTGAGTGTCATAACGTTCCTCCACAGTTTTCTTAAGAGGACACTGTCTGCGGAATATTTGAGAAGAATCCTTCTCACCATGAATTGCCAATCACTGCCCAGACAAAAGATATGAGGGAGAAGATTCAGCCTAGGCAGTCCTGATGACAGGGATGTGTAAAACACTATAAGTACAAGTTCCTGAAAGAGAGGGGGTGGCTAAATAATTGGATACAACTTACAATACAATCATTTAACTTGGTTAAAGAGAGAGAAAACCCGTAGTGAATTAATGTGCACATATAGGTAAGCAAGGCACTGGGAATCTGATAGGTATTTAAAGGAATCCATTCACTAGATGATAGGAGCATGTAAATACTGCTTGCCACTTAGTTATACAGAAATTTTTGCTGTTATACTGTCTTGTTCCCAATCCTTACCTGTTTCATTCAACACAAACAATGAAAAACACACCACAAATTTTGCTACACAACCTTTTTATATTATCACCGTGTTAAGACTATTTACATTTCATAATTTGAAACTTTAAAAATTAAAAACAATAATATTATTCCATTTGGCACTACATCACTTGTTTAATTTTTATCTTTGCTACGATTATCAGTTGAGTAAGACATGACAGAAGTTTGGTGAAAAAGTTTTAGCCTTAAAATTATGGTATTGTCATAGGCAACTTACCTCATCTCCATAGGTAACAATATCAACAGCCGTGCGTCGCCTGTTGCATTGCCTACAATAATTATAGTTATTTTGTGTGCTTTGTTGCCATTGATGTCAAAGGCTCACAAGATGCCACCGGAAACAGAGCCAGTTGCCCGTGACAACATAATTTTCACATTAAAACCTGCTGACCAAACTTCCATCATGCCTTACTCAGCTGATAATTGTAGTATCATCCTGTATTCAAAACAGGTTCACAGAATTTTTGAGATTGTGCAATGTTACGCATTATCTCATATAGTCACCATCTGTGAAGGTTTGAGGATTTTTTGAAACCTGAGAATCTCTCTCCCGATGAGAGTTAATAGTTCATGAAGATGGTAAAAACTTACCCGATGAGAGTTAATAGTTAATGAAGATAGTGAAAACTCGAGACAAGATCAGACTGCGCATTTACAAAGCAACAGACAAGTTGATATTTGAAATGTAAACCGCCTTTGCTTCTAGTCAAATCCCTTCTAAACGGCTCAAACAGAGCCAGGAACACACGTAAGTAACATTGCATTTATTTTGTAAATGATTAATATGTTATTGCTGATAAAGTGTTCGGGTCTCCTGTGCTTTGGGCGAGCGAGAAGATTTTCATGAATGCAAATCGAATCGGAGCTTTAAAGCTACCTACAAGCCAAAATTTAAGCTTGTTCTTTTGTTTTTTAAGCAATGATGCAGTGAATAAATCCCAACTTGCAGTGTTGCAGTGATCTCAAACCCTTCGGTGTGCGATGTTTGTTTTTTACGCTACGGCGTTCAGTAAAATAAAGTTATTTGTGGTGCTGTTGTTTATGACAAGCGCTTACCTTGGCGTTTTTAAAATTTTTACTAAAAAACAGACCAACACTGTCTAGTTTATCTTCAATATATTTCAGCTGCAAATCCAAAGCTGTCTTCATTAATGCATAACTTAACAAATAACTTTACCTCTGCCACAATGCACCTGGAACTCAGCCTTCGAGAGACACATGGAAATCATGAACAAGGACAGATTTTATGGGTTGATCCACACCTGGGGGAGGGGGGTACTTGACCCATGTTTGGGTATAGGGGAGCTACCGGGGGTTTGAAACAAGACCCTGTTTAGGACAAAAATACTGTAAAAACCCCACCCTGTGTAGGACAGAAAGACAAAGAAACTAGACCTACAGGTATGATCTATTCTGTCAATACACATTAGTTACAATACTGATAAGTGTTAAAAAAATTTTTCACGACAACAATAGCATTCTTGTCCAGAAAATGATCTGATGTTGATTGACGACTTTGTAATGGTCGGTTAACATCTCTTGGCTCGTAATACCATACCCTGTTAAGGACAAGTTCTGACCCCGTTTAGGACAGAGGCGAGTAAAATATACCCTGTTCAGGACAGCGAGGTCAAGCAGCACCTCCTTGTATAGCCCAAATAAGGGAGTACCCCTACAACAAGATTCCCCGTACGTGACTGAGCATAAAGACAGTAATACGATTCCCCTGTAATGTGACGTCTCAGTGATTGCAACACTCTCACTGGTGGCGGCTTCCCACACAATGGCTCTTGAAGATTAAAGCACAATCATAAGCAATTATTGTCCTGTCCATGACATCTTTACATGGTGGCAGCAGTGGGATAGCTGGAACAACAAGAAGCGAACCCACAATCACACAATCAACCATGGCCACTGGATATATGTTACCACCACCTCCTCCACTCAAGATTCATGATGGTAATGTAGTGGAGAAATGGAAAAAGTTTTATCTTGCCTGGAGCAACTATGCACTTGCAACAGAGCTAAACAAAAAATCCGAGCCAGTACACGTGGTTACACTGCTGACAGTCATTGGAGAGGACGCAAGAGATTTTTACTCTACCTTCGACCGGGCAGATGAAGCAAACAAGAATAAAATTGAGCTGGCGTTGCAACATTTCGCTGATTATTGTCAACCCTGCAAAAACATCTCTTTCCAGTGTTATCACCTTAATAAGCAGGCTCAGGAAGCAGGTGAGAGCTACAACTAATATAAAACAGCACTTAGAAAACTCGGCGAAGGCTGCGAGTTCAACACTATCACACCCGAGGAGATAATGCGTGACTGTTTAATATTCGGCATCCGTGATGTTAAAGCTCGGGAAAGAATGCTACGAAAATCTCAGCTTACACTGAAGAAAACCAATGAAATTTGCTATGCTTTGGAAAGTACAGCTGCACAAATGAAAGAAGCCAGCAAGGGAGACACTGTAAATTCAGTAAGTTTCCACAACAAATTTGGTTGGCATCCATGTGGCAACAAAGGAGACAAAGGAGACACTGATGAGTCAACAAAGGCATATGGTAATTGTGGGCAGATACATGATCTGAATAACTGCTTTGCTCACAGGAAAACATGTGATAACTGTGGTAAACGTAATCATTTCACAGCCTTATGTTGCAGTGGAAAGTGTTGAGGTCCACACCTGACTCAAAGCATTAAGGCTGTTGATCAAGAAATCGGTCCTGACGACAATTCAGACGAAACATACGTGGTTAGCAACATTGCAGCTGTCACGCTTGATGATGAACAACTCATGACACTACAGCTTTCATCTGGGAATTACCTACGTTTTCAGGCCGACACTGCTGCACAGTGCAACATCATTCCAGTACAGCTGTACAGGAAAGCTGCTAATGATCCCGATCTAAAAGAGGTCAAGCCTTCAAAGTTAACTATCTCGGCCTATGGCGGTCCCCAACTTCCAGTTGTGGGACAAGTCACCATGAGAGTGTGGCATGACAGTTTTAAGTGCTTATTAGATTGCAAGTCGGTTGATCACAAGGACATTCA